TTTTTTTTTCCTTCAGTGAAATAGATTGCTTTGGTACCGCAATGCAAGGCGCAAAAACATAAGGAATGCCCGTTGCTCTCACTTCGAGAGCCGTTGCTGCACCTATCCTTTTCACCAGATCAGGGTCTCTGCACATTATCCAAAAAGGTCTCTTTTCACTAATGACTTTAATCGCGTTTTTAATTTCGTTTTCGTATTAGTATCATGTTTGATTTTCAGTATAATAATCTTAGAGAATGCAAAGAAGATTGTGGCAGACTAGTGAACCAAAAAGACATAGTTATTACTCAAGCTCATGTATTGAAACTTTGGGTGTGATTGGATATAAATTCAATCCCGAAAAACCAATAAAAACTCAAATTTAACTCAAACTCATAATTATCAATAGTATTCATACAATTAAATAATACTAATAAATTATTCTTACAAATTACATCAACTTTATTTCATTATTCATCCACTCACATATTTTTAATCAAGCATCATTTCACATCATTTTTCTCCTACTTTTACATCAAATCAACTTTAATTATTTTATTTTAAATATTATTTTAATATAGACTCAAAATCCCACTAACAATAACACATACCATCTTTTTCAAAATTAACTGTGATTAACAAAAAAAAAACAATCAAAACCGAATCAAAACCGAATCAAATCCATATCCAATCACACCCTTAATCATCATTAGAAAAACGAGGAAAAAACTGGAAAATACTTGCCTAGTTGCTCCGAGACCAATGTTATGGGGGAAAATCGTAGCATTGTAGACATTGTTGTGTCCATGAACGGCATCAATACCGTACAAAAAAGGTATCTTGAGGCGAGTAGACAACGAAGCCTTCTGAAAATCATTAACCATGTCGATCCATGCCCGAGCAGACGCGTTTGGGGCCGGTACACTACCTCCACCACTTAGTACACTTCCTGGAAAATAAAAAATTTTCGTATCATACACATAATCGTCGTACTTGCAAAAAGTTTTTAACTTATAATACAATGAGTATAGCATATCATATAATGTTGGTTGTATTTCTTTACCTATAAAATATTTATTCATAACCTCGGGTGTTGCCACAGAACGATCGATTTGCGTCATCTGTCCGATTTTTTCTTCCAGCGTCATTCTTCTCAAAAGATCCTCAATTCTCTTGTGTAGGGGCTGATTCGGGTTGAGGTACACTGGAGTGTCGGCGTTTGACACCGTTATCCAGCAACAGAACAACAAAATCGAGACGACTATCGATGGAGCTTTGGGTTTGGCCATTTTTAGTTATTCAGACCTTTCACATTGAACAGGAAAAGTGTAAGTAACTTTATTTATTCCCTAGAGCAAATCTTGATATACAGATCAAGAGAACCACATGCCGTTGGCCGAAATGAAAGGAGATCACATGATTCTTGCTGTATTATGTCTCGACACCGACATTAATGTAAGTAAAAGACTTTGAGAAGAGAACAAAAATTAGAAGAAAGAAAACAGAGAGGTTCTTATGAGAAAAATGGAGGTATCTTACTTGATTGCTAGTTATAGAATGAAATAGACTCTTTTGTACATATAAACAATTATGTTTTCAGTCAACTAGCAAGCCCATCAATTCAACTTGCTTGGTTGTTAGAGAATTAAATAAAGTATTATTAAAAATTACGGTTTTGCTGTGAAGCCAACAGTTGGCTCTATAGTGGATCCAACATTTTATATACAACATGTAAATCTATCATATTCTTTGTTTACTTAAATAATATTAGTATAATTTTAATAATATTGTAGGTTTATTTGTTGTATATAGCAGGTTGACTTCATTATGGAGCCAACTGTTGGCTTCATAGCAAAATCGTTAAAAATAATTTATGTGGATATTTTTGTGCAACTTTTTCCATTTTTCTCTTTTTTTTTCGGAGATTTAATTTTTTCGAGAAAAAAATTATATCCAATTGCGCAAGTTGCATTCTTTTTTTTTTTTTTTTGTCGTGAAAAGGATTTTTAGTTAAGAACTTTAATTAAATTAAATTAGTATTTTGTTCTCTTATACATATGACAAAACATAGTTACTGTTATATGTACTAATTAATACTAAGATGATTAGTTTTGTTATATGTACTAATTAATACTAAGATAAACTACTCATAATTCACGTTAAATGTTATATGGAAGTTACATATGTATCAAAAGTTTTATTTCAATTTTTTTTTTTTCAAGCTCTTCATCCAATAATATTATCTTTTTTTTTTTTTGTATTTCATTAAGAAAATTTTCTTTAACAAAATATCTAATTGACTTTAGTAGCACAATCAAACATCTTAAAATCTCATAAATAATAATAATAATAATAATAATAATAATAATAATAATAATAATAATAATAATAATTTTCAACTAATTAATTGACCATATCCCTTAAAATTACAATATCTATAAACTTTTTCAATCAATGTAGTGATTCATACATAGTTAGATAATTTATTATATTTTAATATCCATTATATAATTTTAATACTATATCTATATACATAACTTATGATACTTTATTTATTGTACATGTGCACATGAAAGGATTACACCGTGTTGTAGCTTCTTGCAACCCCTATTAGTGCTGCTACTTATTTAACAATCGAAACCTAAGCTAAGAGGAATCCAAGAACAAAAGGGAATTTCCAAAGGGCAGTTTCTCAACAACCGGCGGTAAACCTTGGCTCAGTATTTGTTCTCCCGCTGCCCTAGATCCCTTTCTCTAGGGGTGAGCAAAACCGAGCCGAAACCGAAAAACCGAACCGAACCGAGCAATTCGGTGCGGTTCGGTGCGGTTTTGGACGAGCTCGGTTAGCGGTGCGGTTTGGATTTTGGAAAACCGCATATATTTCGGTGCAGTTCGGTTTCCCGTCCGAAAGGTGCGGTTTTAACCGAACCGCACCGCATATTAAAAAAATGTCATTTTAGTTTCATTTTTACATATATTTTGTACACAAGTGCATTTTAAAATATAAAAACAAGAAAAAACTTTGAGTGTTGGATTTATTTTGGTTGTTTAATTTTCATTTTGTAATGGTATAATCATAATGGATGTTGTTTGTATTTTTTTTTTCTTATTTATAGTAATTTATTTTTATTTGCGGTTAACCGAAAAACCGCACCGCACCGAACCGAACATTTCGGTTCGGTTTGGTTCGGTTTTTTTTCCTCTTGCGGTGCGGTGCGGTTAAGAAATTTCAGAAAATCGGTTTTCGGTTTTTTTGCGGTGCGGTTCGGTTTTTGACCGAACCGCATCATGCTCACCCCTACCTTTCTCTGTCTCTTTTCCACCGAGCTGGGTACTATTTCTACCGAACCATGTACTAAACCCCAATGCGAGTACATGGCGGTTGCTCCTTCTAGACCGAGCCAGCCAGATCCTGATACAGGTACAGCAAACGTTCCAACGTATCACCGCCGTCTCCGAACCCTTGCTTGTGATTGATCATTTATATGAGCAAACATGCCGCGCATAGAAAGGGGGTTATGGGAACATCGTGGACACAATGTTGTTCGGTCGTGACAATATTTCCTTGGAGGAGGCTCGATGTAATTGACCTTGTGTTCGAATGAACTGCGAAAGAAGCTGACCGGAAAGGCATTCGAGAACAATCATGGAGAAGGCTTGGTTACTCGGGGGAGATCTAAGTCAAAAGATGGTAATCCAGGAAGAAGTCACTCTAGATCACAGTCCAGGAAGAGGTCCATCAAGTGCTATTACTGTCAAAAGCACGGGCACATGAAGAAAGACTGTCCAAAGTTGAAGGAAAAGGGTGAATCACATGAGCAAGCCAAGGATGGTGCAAATGTGGTTGACGCCCAGTCTTCTGATGATGCTGAGACCGTTCTGGCAGTATCCGACTCACGGGGTGGTGAGAGATGGATTCTTGATACGGCCGCAACATTCTGGTACCTCAAGGGAGTTGTTTAGGGCTTACGAGAGGTGTGCTGGCTCAACGCTAATGGGGGATGATCACGCCTGCAAAGTGGTGGGCATTGGCACCATTCGTATCAAGATGTTCGATGGTATTGTCAGAACCTTGACCGACGTCCGTCACATTCCTGACACAGCGCCGCCGACCTTCTCAATTATGCAAGACCCGCCAACATCAAAGTAGCCGTATACGCAAGCGTGGAGAGGTTTTGTTGGCACCTTCATCTAATTAGACTTCGTTCCCTGGAAGACTAAGAGAAGGCTACAAAAGATAAGATAGAGAGGGCTTCCAAACCCATTCCCTTACTAAAGGACCAAGAGCTAGCCATCCCCAAAACTGATTCATCTTCGCACTTTATGAATCATAATCGCGCCCCGGATGTATGTATGGGTCAGTTTAAAGTATCAGCGGTTCACAGTTCAGAATCAGGCCGCCGATCAAGGTCTGGTTCTGGCCGAACCAGGTTGAATTAGCAGTTCATTCATTAAAAAAAAAACGAGGGGGGGGGAGGGGGGAGGGATGGGTTAAAGAAATTGGACTTCGGCTAGTTGACATTATATTAAAATATCAATTAACTTTAAATATTTTCAATCAAAAAATAGTATTTTAACTTATAATATGTCAATTACCTTTTTTTTTTCTTGGAGAGTAACACTCCAAGAATCAGGTGAATATTTTGGCTTGTATTTCGACGTTGTCTCTCGACATTGGATTTGATCGTAAGCTTTCATTTCCAATTGGATTATGGATGTGATTTGTTCTATTGATTCTATTATTGTGATTAATTTCGATACATGTTAGCTAAATTCTTTGGCTAGGGATAGGGGATGGTTTTTCACATTCGTGTGTTTATCGTGCTTTTGTGATTCGTTCAATCTAAGCAAGTTGTGTTATGCTTAAGGTTAGATTGTTGATCACCTTCTAATCCAATTAAACGATCTTTAGAACCGAAAGAGGAGGGGTTGTTCGATTTAGGATCGCCATATAGTAGGTTTGTTTGTAATTGTATTGTCTATGTGTTATTTGGTTTGATTGATTGTCGTTTTTGTTTATCCTCTTGTTACGAAAAGTTATTAAAGTTAAATCTCTAGACGTGTAGGTTGATAGAACCACTTAACCGAACATTCAATTGTTTGATATTTACTTTGGATTACGAATGATTATCTCCTATTCCCTAGCTTCTTAATCATTATGCGAAACTCGTTTGGAAATTGATAATTGAGTTCTTGCTTTGTTTGATTTCTTAGTGGTTAAATAAAATTCAAAATCAAATTTCCTTTTTGTGCTTGAATAATCGTGCGAAATAATCCGGCTAGACTTTCTTGCGATACGACACGGGGATCGATTCCTTTGAATTAACTCCGGTAAAAATAACAACAATAGTAATTCTAGCATTTTTGTAGGGATTATAATTTGAAGCACAATTAGTGAAGTTTGAGCCTATTTACAACGTCGATTGTGGATAATGCGAATAAGAAGAAGACTCGAAAGCAGAAGAAGACAATGACGCCATATTTTCAAGATATTCTTGAAAATAATCTCTACTCAGTTTAATTATTTTGGTATAATAACCTCTATTCAGTTTCGTTATTTTGGCTCTGATTAACTAATATAGCATCGATACGGGATTACTTGACTTTATCCAAGTAAATTGGAGGAGGTCAATGAGGCTGATATCCCAGTATAATAAATTAGGGTTTGTTTGGATGAGTTATTTCGAATAAAGTTAATTGAGTGGAAAATTTTGAGTTGTAATTAAATAATATTTAAAATGTAATGATAAAAATTGTGATGTAAAAGTATGAGATAAGTTATTGAAAGTAATATATAGTTAAAATTATGTGAGTTGATGGATAATGAATTAAAATTGATGTGATGTGTGAAAATATTTGACTGTTATTATTTAATTATATTGATAAAAAAATAAGAGAGCTGAGTTGGATTGAATTTTAATTAGTATAAAATAACTTGCGTTTCGAAAAAAAAAAAAGTCAAAATCGATTGAAATTATGACTATCCAATCGCGGTCTTAGCTATCCCTAGTTGGGGGAATATCCCCGCTTAACGAATTATTGATCACTAGTTGAGGTCCTAACGTGACCTATCACTACCTAGCACGTGAGTGTGGATCATTACAACTTGCTCAATCATAATTGAAATTGAACAATTTGAGGAATGGTTAATGATATTTAAACCAAACTAGTGTGTGCCCGTGCGATGTACGAAAACAATATTAAATCAACAATATTATAAATAGACCTCGAGTTTGAGTCACTCAATGGCGGAAGTGGAAACGACTATTGATCCTATTTAAAAAGAGAA